AAAAATTTTTTTTAAGAAAAAATTAAAAGAGGAAAAAAAAAAAAAAAAAAAAAAAAAAAAAAAAAAAAAAAAAATATATATATATATATATATATATATATATATATATATATATATATCCTCTGAACTGCATTCAATGAGCTGTTCCTTTCTGAGAGTGAAACACCAAAGAGGCTCACATGTGGCAGAGTCAGCCACACCCCCTTCCCAGCTCCCTTCATTCAGCCAGCTGTGCTCAGCTTTGTTTTGATGTCAGCAGCAGTCTGTATGAGCGATCAGTATGTGTGTCTGGTGTCTGAAGTGGGTTACCATAAGCTGTAAAATGCCACACTCCACAGATGCTCCTGGGCTGATAATGAAAGCCATTATCACAAAGGCATTTTAACTGCGACTCACACTCTCTGCCTTCCACTTGTTCACTTCCAGGCACTCAAAAAAAAAGCCCAACAACTTGGGTTTGTTCAAATTCGGCTGATTTGCTCAGTTTTAGTTCTTCTCCAGTGTAGATGTTGGACGGTATCAGATTTTCATGATTACCTGAAATATATGGTCTCTCGACCAAACAGCTTGACAACTGCAGTTGTAATTAAAGTGATGGGCCAGCAAGGGCCTTCATTGGACTTTTCAGTAGGACATCTGGACTGTCTGTGTTTTTCGTAACATTCAAATCGGTCATACTTCAAATGTATGAGAAAATATTGACTTTCCTTCAGCTAGCTGACTGGCAGTGCACATCAACAGGTGAGGGAGGGGGCAGAGCAGTGCTCTTCTACCCTACAACCAAAGAAAGCTGGTCTACCACTTTCTCTGGCCTCTTGTTAAAAATTACTTCTAACCACTTTTTGAGGTCTTGAGTGCATGACTTGTTAAAACCTTTGAGCACCTGGACGCTGGTATCCGGCATATGTGTACTCCGTCATATGCCTAGACTCTGTTAAATCTCTTTCTACTATCTCAAACACTCAAAGTATTACCGAGGTTGCGGTAACAGACTGACGGCATTAGACTAATACTGTCTCATCTCGCCGAAGATTAGCAGAGGTTTTGAAGAAGTGAATTGGAATACAACTCAGAACTCCAGTCTGTCTGCTCAGTGCTGAGTATGAACATGCCAATGCCTGCAGAGCAGATTAGCTGAGAAGTGACTGACATTAAGCATAAAGACATTTTTGCCTTAGCTAACGGCGTTGAGCAACGTCCTCTCCCACACGCATTCCTCACTTGATCGCACTAATTTATGAACATATTTACCTGTCACCTGCTGTCACAAGTAGATTGAATCATGGGAATATTTTGCATATCAGTGACGAAGTCTGTTTTGTTCTTGTTTTTCTCCCAGAGGAGGAAGACGAAGATGAGGATGAGGACGACGAAGAAGAGGATGATGAGGAGGAGGAGGAGGATGAGGAGGAAGAAGAGGAGGAAGAGATCGATGTGGTTACAGTAGAGAAGAGACGCTCCACAATCAGCAAGACATCTCCCATGACCACAGGTATAGGAACCATCTGTGTTAATCCCAAGAGCCAAGATGCAAGAGGGATTGTCTCAGGATCTGGGGTCGTGAGTCGGTTCATCAGCCGGGCCCCTCAGGAGCTCATCCTGAAGAGGAGCTCGGTCCATCAGCAGCAACACAACTACGCGGCACCCTCGCCCTATGCCTCAGATGATGACCTGACCCCACCTCCAAAGAAACAGAAGACATCAGAGACATCGCGCCCTCCCATCAGAACCAGTTCATCGTCCTCTACATCCTCCTCCTCGTCCTGCACCTCTGCCCCCAGCATCGCGGGGGCCCGCAGCAAGCGCAGCACCAGCGGGGACAGCAGTCCGCGCGGTAGCTCCGACTCCGAGGACAGCGAGCGCCGACGAAACCACAACATCCTGGAGCGCCAGCGACGCAACGACTTGCGATCCAGCTTCCTGACCCTGCGCGATCACGTCCCGGAGCTGGCTCACAACGAGAAGGCGGCAAAGGTGCTGATCCTGAAGAAGGCAACCGAGTACGTTTGTTCACTGGAGACGGAGGAGATGAGGCTCCAGCAGGAGAAGGACAGGCTGCAGGCTCGCAGACAACACCTCATGCGCAGGCTGGAGCAGGCTAGGACTCGCTGACAGACAACCGCTACAACATGAAACCCCTCGCATAGACCCTGGAGGAACCCCTCTCACCATCCCGAACTCCAGACATAGGCCTATAAACTTAAGCACAGACACAAAGGCCTTTATATCTGTTGGACTTTTGCACACAGAAACACTAAAATCTCAGAGGACATTTATCGTCAGATGCCGCTACACAAACCTGGAAGAGAGAAGAGAAGAGGATGCACAAGGGGGGTGGGTATGTGGGTGGGGGGGGGTCGCTGGAGGAACGCTCGGACTTTTACTGCCGCCACTTTTTTTGCACATTTGTTGACGTTAAGAATGTTTAGGGTTTACTTTTCAATCCAGTCACATCGAGGAAAGACAAAAAGAGAAAGAACGAGGAGGGAGACAAGAGACACTTTTTTTTTAGTCTTCGCTCCCTCTGGTTGTTGTTGTTGTTGTATTTTATATATATATATATATATATATATATATATATATATATATATATATATATATATATATATATATATATATATATATATAATTTCTACATGTATGTTTGTTTTTGTTTTGTTTTTTTGTACTCACTGTGACACCAGCCTGGAATTGCATGATTCCACACAGGGATGGGTGTTGGAGGGCACTTTGCTTGGAGAGTTCAGCAGTGCACGCTTACATTTGCCTTCATCACTGCAAAACTGAAAAATGAAATGTAAAAAAAAAACAAAAAAAAAAAACTGATGACCGAGGCGTCATAGCAGACACAAACAAAGCCACTACAGGTTCTTTTTCCCCCTCACTCTTCTCACACTGGTGCTCAAACCAAGTCAGTGGATGTATAACTGTGCACCTTGCTAGGCGACACTTTTGTATATAACAATAGTGTACAGACAAAATACACTCAGATCTGCCTTGTTTTATATTGCTTTTTTTTTTTTAATATTCAAGTCAGGAAGCTGCCAATAACTGGACTGTAAGTTTATATACCTTTAAATGTACTGTAAGGTCTCAGTTTATGAGAGTCAGAAAAACTTTGTAATATAACTGCATATTTTTTTCCTTCTCTTTTTCTTTTTTGTATATCACTACGTTTTACACATTTATTTGCTTTTTAGTGTGATACATACTAAATTTGATACTTATATTTTCGTAAGAGAATGCATTCTTGGTAGATATCACTTTATCTTGTCATTTTCTCTCTTATCAATTTTTTTTTGTACAGCAGATGTGTTCTATCCACATGTACCTGGATTTCCCACCTGCCCCCCTTTTTTTAAACTTTCCTCTTTTGTTGATATTTTTAACTATCGGGTGCATAGAACTGGGTAAACTGATATGTTTTTTTTTTTTTTTCACTACATTAAATGTACCTTTAGTGCTGCAACTCATGGCACTTTTGAAATACCTCATTTTGAAAAATAAATAGACAAAATTTCCTGACTTTTTACGTCTGTGTCTTGCCTCCAAATTTCTGTATTTGTTGTGGCTCCTCTCAGAAGCCTCATCCTCACAAAGAAAGAGCGCGTCTTCTGAATCCTCTCTGTCTCTGCACCCTGCGGCTGCACACACACGCACACGCGTGCACGCACACACACATTTCCACACCTCTCTCTGTTTCCCTCTCTGCTATACACAGCTCTTCCCGCTACATTGTTCAGGCTGCTGCCATGGAAACTGGAGCAGCTGCTAAGTAGCAGACACGAGAGTGAGTCTTTTATTTGTTAGTAGTCTGTGTATTCCTGCCCGCGCCTGCGTGCGTGTGTGTGTGTGTGTGGATATGAATGCAAATGTTCTTATGTGTGTCTACCTTTTGTCATGGTCTGTGTGTGGCCCCCGGTGCCTGATATTGCCGGTGTTGTGCACTGCCTGCCATGATGCCAGGACAAGTCTCGATACTGTTTACCAACATCAGCCACATGGCTTTGCCCTCCTCCCCTCTCCTCCATGCTCTCCTCCCCCCCACTCCCCTTCGATCCGCCGTCCCCCTGTGACTTCAGCGCTGGGCCTCGGCCCAAAAATGTGCCTTGGAAAAGGGATTTCTCTGGAGATGGCTGAAAGAGAAATCTATTGCTACGGTCAGCACAGTCTTTTAGTGAGCTCACAAAAAGAAATGGACACAGTAAGAGGGGAAATACACTGCGTAAAAACACACCGTGTGGGTGATTTTGAGGAACTCTTTTAGTCTAGGAAGCTGTTCCATTTTTTGCCAGTGATCATCTTTAGCAAAAGCACCTGAAACACTCATTTATAGCTTCACAGTCTCTGGGTTTTAGGATTACATAGATTTAATGACAAAACCCAACTGAAAGGGACGCCATGGAGGTGCAAGCGTCCAGTTTCTTAAAAGAAGTGAAAAGGGAACAAAGCATTGTAAATGACTTATGTTTTGTCACTCCAATGTGATAATCTGATATGTAGTTTGTCTCTGACATCATCAAATAGTGCACTTGTTTAATACTTTGTATATGCGCAAATATTGTGCTTAAATTCAAAACTGATGATACTTTAAAACTTTTCTGTTGAGCCTTTTTGAATTTACCACTTTAGTTCAGTGTCATGTCAATGGCTTTTATGACAATGGTTTTCTTATAAACTATAACCTTATAAAAATACTAAGTTTGCTGAGTGACGCCACATTGAAAAACATTTTAAAAATCATTTAGAAGTTTGACTCCATTGGGTAGTTATGTTTTTTTCATAAAAAAAAAGGAAAAATAAATCTTATAGTTTTGGTTACAAGAATGTTAACGGTGTAACTATGTGTTTGATTTTTATGAAGCAGTGCAAATATTCAAGCTAGATTAAATCAGTTAGCAAGCCTGACTGATAACTTAGAGCTGGAACACGGTTTAGTTGTGTAATTCCACCAACACTCCTTGTTCACTTTCCTCTACGGTGCAGTGGATTACTTCATTTACACTTTCCAAATAGTACCAAAATATGTGGTAAGTACCACTAAGTAATTTTTGTAGCACTGTAGAACAATATTTATAAAAAAAAAAAAAAAAAACATAAATACTGAGAAAAGCCTACATAGACTTTTTCACGGTGAAATCTTGTGGAGCCAGATGTTTTGAGAACTGAGCGGACTATACTCTAAAAGTTTGGGTCGGAAATTTAGTGAATGGAAACATTGCATGAAACCTTCACATAGGCGACAACACCATGAAGATTGATGACTCTGGAGTCGAGGCAGCCCAAAACTGAGCCTCTCACAGGGGGCGGCGGGGACTGCTGTATTACATAACAGGGGTCTGGCGTCTTTGTGTGCACTTACAGTGCATGTATGGAACAGGAGTCGGGCGTCTTTATCTGTCTACGAGTTCATGTTGTGACCTCTCCTGGGACTTCCCCTCACCATCTGCCCGCTGAATTCATCCTACTTGGTTAAAGCAGACAACAAGTTCGCAGACAATAGCAGTGAGCATGCAGGAGGGGAAAGCAAAACACTATATCCTAACAGACACACAATGGGCTCGGCTGTAATATGAGCTAACAATACCCAAACAGCAGTGTCCAGTATCACACTTCCTGTTTACACTATAAGTTCAAACTGCTTCCTCTTCAGAGACACGCTCACCGCCGACACATTTTAACTGTAGTTAATCTCTCTGAAATGAGGCTAATTGGTTTAGAAGGGAGCTGATGCCGTTGAGTGGTCATCTCCCGTGTTTTAGCGGACATATGGCCGAGGCTTTTCTTTCAGCTCAGTGACCGCCCTGGCTGACTGAAGCTCCTCAGACCCACACATGACACAGATCTAATGGGCTTATGCCCCACCGACGGGGAGAACATTAAAGCTGCACAGAAGATAATGGGGCATGTTTGTGTTGCTCGAGCGATGGTGTCATCCCTCGGAAATCTTCATTAGATTAATCAACAAACACTTGTTCCAATGTTTCTATTGTCCTGCGGACACCGGATCTGCATTGAACATGTCAACCTTCCCATATGGAGGGAAACAAAGCCTCCTGTGTGTGTTCGTGCGCTAGTGTGTCTGAGCCCAACCTCTGCACAAAGACATCGCCCGTGCACCACACTGGGCTCTGTTTGCCAGGACCTCCGCTATCTGAGAGGGAGTGTGAGCGTGTATGCATGTGTGTGAGTGTCATAAGAGCGTGTTGCTATCTGTTGTGGGGTGCAGCACTGTTGCAGGTGTTTAGAAAGGGGGTGCGCGTAGGAGTTAAGGTAAATAGAGGAGAAGAGCCATGTGCACAGGAGGGTGTTAGGGGATACTGGGGAAGAAAACACAGGCGAACATGAGTGGAACCGGCGCAGCTCCTTCAGGGAGCCTCCTGTCTGGACTGAGTAATATGCAGCAGTGACAAAGAGCTACAGTAATTGCAGAACACACAGCGGACAGTGAAGCAGAAGAGGGTAGGAGGGAGGGAGCACAAGGAGAGAAAAGAAGGCCTGAGTGTTTGATCAAAGTTTACCAAAGACTGACGAGATTTGCATACAGATGGTACTGTAGCACAGCCCCCATAATACCTTTCCCTCTCTTTATTTTTCTTTCTGACTCATGCACGCTCACACACACTCGTACACAAATGTAATAGGGTTTCATTGAAAAATCCATGAATAGCCTTTCAAGAGCACGTTCAAGCGAGGAGACAGCCTTGGCTGTGCAACAGAGCACTGAAAAAGAAAGCAAAAACCAAAAAGTAGGGGGGTGGGAGGGAAACAGGATAGAAATAAAGATAAGAACTGAGACAGAAGATGTGAAGAGTGAGAGGAGTGGCGAAAAAGAAAAACGAAAAAATCTCTTTGTCATAATCAATAAACACCTTTTTTGTGTGAATGACTCACATTTATTATCTGCTAACGTCAATTCAGATCTTCTTTTCATCCTTTACCTACATCCATCTTCACACTGCGATGACTCTGAATACCCCTATTGTGGATTTATTGATAATTCCTTTTAAGTTGAAGCCATTATTTCAAGGCAGGTCCTTGACAATAAACCTGATGTGCCAAAACCTGGAGCTCTTTCTCTGCTGCTGAGCAGCGAAAGCCACAGGTATGTCCAAAACCAGCCTGAACTTGCAATCAGCTGCTGCACCGCTGACAGTATAAAGAT